ACAGGCACTTTTTAATAAAAAATATCTGAAGGACAAAACTATGAAACAAGAATTCCCAAAATGTACAATGGTTTCAAAATGTAAAAGAAGAATATACTGTTATATTAGTTAAGCACAGAATAACCAAATTATAGAATAATTATTCCTAAAAACCAGTACTTTTTTTTTTTAAGAAAATCATGTTTCCAGACCATGAATTTTAAACTCAGGGTAGACTTCTTTACTAGCAAGTTGTGCAAACTGTACACTGAGAAGAAACAGGGGAGTAGATGTATTTTTATGTGGTTGTGATAAATAAGTTGGCTGCATTTCTAAATTAAAATTGCAATATTAAAAGATGTTGGCTCTTTTCCTTTATATGTGAACTTTCACATTCATACAACTGATTTGAAAATCTAAGCCATAAAATGAAAATAAAATTGGTCAGCATGATACTGCTTTATATGGTTAAGATAAAGTATCAGTTTTTTTCTAAGTAACTGCACTGATAAAATTTAAAGAGCAGATACCTCTGTCTCCAAAAATGTCCAGGAAGGTTTTTGAGCTTTTCATGCAATTTCAGAAACTGTTCTATTATTTTCGTGTTAAAAGACAATATCACGGACAATCCCCTCGGGTCCCCTCCCACCGTGGGAGCTTTTCTGTCTTCTTAATAAATCCTGCTTTCTTAAAAAAAAAAAGACAATGTCTCTTTAATTATACCAATTAAAAGCGTTTGAGGTCCTGATAAATTACTTCTTTCATAGTATTGATTGTGTAGGATTTCTTCTTAGTGCCCAAAAGAAATAGGTGTAGTTGGATAAGAGTAGGCGGTTTTTTAACTTCCTCCCCAAAAGAGTTGGTGTTTTTGGCTGGTTGTTTTATGTTTTGTTTTTATTTGGGGGGAGGGGGAGATGTGAGGGAAGAGAGAAAGGCTGTATATAGAATTATTGAATAGGCCTACACTAAAATTCTTCCTTGATGGCTGAGGTTAGGGCTTGGGGGAAAGAAATTTGGTGAAATAATTGAAGTGTAATAATATCTGTAAGTTTTTTTAAAATATGCAAATTCTCCTCTGGTCCCCGGTCCCCTACCTCGTAGGTGCTGGTATCTCTGGAGGGTTCAGAAGCCATTTTAGAACTTAGGAAGCAAGATATGTGAGTGCCACTTGTGCTTTTGCAGGTGCTGTGGTGGCACGGATAACCTTTGCTCGCTTGCCGGCTGTGTTACCACGCTGTTATTTAATGTCTTTGAGGATTAAAGACAGCCCAGAAAATTCCAAAGCCACATCCTAACACCTGAAGCTCGCGCAGTTTCTGTAGCAAATGGCAAAGCATTTCACTGGAACCCTAATTTAGCAAGTCTCTCTCAGATCTGGGAGAGGTTTTATTCTTTTGAGGCACCGCTGATGAGCCACACAGTGTTCGACTTTCGAGACACGACCCCTCCGCGGTGTTCTGCGCACCCTGGCCCTTCGCTTCCCCGTGTTTCTGGCTGAGGGTCTTTCGGAACCGAACGTGCGTTTTCAGTCCGGGACGTCCAGTAATTTACGAGGCGAAAGGCAAAACCACAGGGCACCCCTCCGAGTCGCTGAGGGGTTCAGAAGCCGGAGAGGCGTTTGCCTCCCCGCAGTCGGACGGGAGGCTCGGAGCCC